ACAACCCAGAAACCTGCCAGATGCTGTCTTTGGGACACAATTTCAGTAATGGGAGCTATCAAATAGAAAGGCACATTTATCAACAGAGTGTCGGAGTACAGTCACCAAGAGGTGTAAAGAAAGCGTAGCAAAGACGCATCTTAAGCAAAGTTAGAGAAGCAAGCATAAACCTTTTAAAGACAGTTTTTCTTGTGTGTGTGTGTGTGTGTGTGTGTGTGTGTGTGTGTGTGCATGCGCGTGTATGTTTGGGTGTGGGTGGGTGTGTCAGTGTGCACGTCAAGCTATGTGTTTGGAGGTCAAGGATAGCCTTGGGTGTCAGACCTCACTCACTTCTACTTTGAGACAGCAGCGGCTCCTGTGCACTTCTGCAGGCCCTAGGCTAGCTAGCCCAGACATAGCCTGTCTTGCTCCCCTCCTCCAGATAGGGATGCTCTGCTATTCACAGATATCTGTGCCACTATGTCAGTTCTTTAGGTGGGTTCGAGAAATCAGAACTTAGGTTGTCATACTTGTGCAACCATTTCTTTGTGCCCTGGGCCGTCTTCTCAGCCCTTGAAGATAATTTTTAAGTGTTTACTGGCTGTTTGTCAGCAAACTAAATGATGTGGTAACTTTAGTACAAATTGCACGGACAAGGTCAAATAGGCCACACCCCTGACTCTGCTAGGTCAACATCATGTGAAAACTAGTATTAAGGAATTAATAGAGCTCATTAATCTGGAAAGTTAATAGTCAGGTGTTTATCGTTTTTTGAGTATTTTCTTCTTTTAGATTAGATCAAACAAGTTATAAGAAATAGTTCACTTAACTACTATTAGCTAGTAACTTTCCTCTAGTGTCTGTTAAGAGAATAACATCATGAAAAAGTTGTAGGTGACTGCTTTTAAACTGTGAGAAGAAAATCCTGAAAACCCTTAACTCTGCAACTTTCTGTCTTCCTTTTGTTCAGTGAAATAAAACTCCTCGGGGGAATCGTTCTCTTGAGTTTTGTGAACTTAAGTGGTTGACACAAAACACAGCAAGGGACGTGCTAAGCAGTGAGTGAAATGTCATCAACGGCTGTGTTTTCAAAGTCTGAGTTTTTTTAAACAGAAGGACTCCAACACAAGTATGTAGTCCACACAAATAGCGAATGGATTAATATCGGCTTATTAATGGCCAATTATTTTATTTCACAGCTACAAGGGAAAATGTCAGGGTTGGGAGTAGTTAAATCAGAGGGGAACCAATTGTCAGAAAACAAAGGGAACACACACACACACACACACACACACACACACACACACACACGTGCCTTTACAGCACACTGAAGCAAAACAGATGATTGGATTTGAAGCTTACCAACCCAGAACTTTATCCCACCCCCCATTTCCTTTTCCACCAATTCATTTTCCTACACTAAGAAATACGTATTTCATAATTCTAGCTCTGATTCTCTTACATCAAAAAGACTCCTGGCTATTGGTAACATTGCAGGGTAAGATATGGTCAGTACAGTGAACCTTAGCATGTTATGCCCTTAGAATGTTATATTTGCAACATGTCTTGCTGAGAACTATATTCCTTCATTCTTATAGGAGGTCAAAGGAGATTATGCTAAATTAAAGAAGATTTGTAATTATGTCTGAAGAATGAATAGCGTGTGTTTAGGGGATTTTACATAGCAGTGGTTTATTTTTCTTTTGTAAAAATTGTTTTTAATAAGCAAATAAGTATTAGCATGGCAAGAATGAGGTTTTAAAAGTTTGACAGTTCACTGTGCCAAAGCCAAGGCTGGCAGTCTGCACCTTATCAGAGAGTAAAGAACAACACATTTGTCTGCAATTTAGGGTGAATATTTGTCCCATGATTAAGAATAGGAAATCATCCTGACAGTAAACAGGATCTAGTCAAACATAATGTTAATCTGGGCTTTGAGGTATTATAAGTCTCTGGAGGAGGCCAGAGTCGTTCCGCCTGGTGATTCGTCTCAGTCTCTCTGTCACAAGTATTTCCTCTGTGACTTTCTTCACAGGCCTACTGTAGAAGCCTATCTTTGAGAAGGTTGTTAAGAGCACACATGAAAAGCTTATGCAAAAATAAATGATAGCACCTCAGGCTTCTTAATTTTATACCATAATACATCGGACCTTTCTACCTTTACACATTCAGAGTGGATTCTTTGATGAAAGGAGAGAGAAATGAATTGCATACCCTATGAAGGGAACCTTTATTACCATTTTAATAGTTCACAGACACATAAAAGGAGGACACATTCACTCTTGGAAGGACCCAATACTAAAGAGATCCACTGGCTAAGTAACAAGAAAAGTAGTATGATCAAGGAAAATAGTTTTTGAAGCGTTGTGAATATGCAAACTTTTCACAAAAGCTTCCAGAAGACTTACCAAAGGGAAGGGAAACAAAACAATATCATTATGTGAAAGTCTAAAGAGATAAGTTGGTCTTTTCTGTAACGGTTTTTGGGCTCAGTGAAAATACTCAATACAGCCGTAGACTGTAGGAGATCATGGGAATGAAATTCCAGACATCAGAAACCAACTTTCAGAACTGCTTAATGAGAAGCTGTGGTGGAAAGGCTCATACTTTGAGGAACCATTGTATAAACTTAACCCTGGCACAGTGTGTAGTGACCATTGTTGCTATGGGTTAGGACAGAGATAGGACGGTCATTCAGGACATTGCTTTGCTATGGAGAGCATTTGTGTTTAGTTGTACTGGGCTGTATTTTGTTTTAGCTGGGCTTCATGCTCCATGCCTTGGGTGTGGTAGAGGCTTTGAGGTTTTGTAGCAGAGAAATAGTACTTGGGACTTTGCCCTCGATGGCTCCCCATTACGTATTCATTATTTCTAGGTATTTTTTTTTTCTGCTTGAGCAATGCTCCCACCAGAGCTGCTCTGATCTTTCCCAGACATCATTTCATTGAGATATGCAAAAAAGAAAATTAAAACACAGGGGTTTTATTGTTATTATTATTTTAACGACTCGGGGCCTGCTCGATGTTTGCATTGAAATTAGACAGACTAATTCAGATGGGGCTTTTAATTTCAGAAGGTTAATCACCCTAACAAAGGCCAGTTAAGCTTGAATCTTCAGTAAAATTGCTACGGGCCCAGTCACCTGCAGGACATTCATTATGTTCCTATTCCCATTTGAAAGAATACGTTTTATTCATCATATGTCACTAATCTTCTCTTTGCCACATTTGACTGAAAATATTAAATTCTTTTGGAACTCTGACAAAAGTTCCTTTCTATATATCTTAAGAGATAACTTATTTCTTTTTAAACAACAAGAAAAAGCAGGACTTCAGCTGCAAGTGACTTTTCTAGCACTTTCTAATCCTTAGATACCTTTGATACTCACCAGAGTTCTTATACTAGCAAATCTCGAGTACACAAAATAATCAGGTTTTGGTTACAACAGCAGTGTGTGGTTATAGGGACTTAAATCTTCCACATTGTCTCGGATTATGGTAATCATATACTTGGTTCTATCGATGAAGCTTACTGAAAACAAAACTATTGATTTGGAGGAAGTACATGTTAATCATATTTGAAGAGCAGTAGACTACTTCAATTCACTAATTCCGTCTGTGACTGTATTGAGATGTATAGTGAGTATCTGTTATGTGGAAGGTACAGGTGAAGGGGACTCTAAGTTGAGAATAAAAGGATCTCTATTATGATATGTGTCCTATGAAAATGATCCTCAGAATATAATAAAACTATTAAAATCTTCACTTTCAGCTTTTCCGAGTAGATTCATTAAACTTTAGTGAAGGCTTGAGAGTACTTAAGTCAAATTATACCACAATTTTGATAAACAGTGCTTAAAATTATTTGCATATTTAAATACTTCAAAACTCATAATTCCACAAGGTGATCCATTTCTTATTTTGATAACATAAAATTTGATTGTCAAATTTTCAAATCAATACATTGAGAACATAATGCTTTCTAAGATTAGGAATCAAATCATGAAAAAGTTGAAAGTGGGCATGTTGAAAACACATACACTACACATTCCTTTTTAAAAGTGTTGTAAGGTTTAAAAACTGCTACGAACACAAAAGACAGCAATGAGAGGCAAAAGTCAAATCACTGGGTTTTGTCATGATAAAATGGCCTGGATTAAGGGACAGTAAAAGAGCCATAATGTACGTCCCCAATTCTATTGCACATCCATCACCAGGATGTTATAGGGGTGGTGTGACATAGCATAAATAACCCAAACTTGCCTGCTGCACAGTCTTGAGACCCTCCCTTCCTCCTTTGTACTCAAGCGCACAGGCGTATTCACAAAGGCACACGGCTCTCCTCATCAATATTCACACTCATTAATTAACAATATGTGAAGGCTATAATTCGAGAAACACCCCAGAGCTTGAATACTCAATCAAGCCAAGCAAATCACAGTGTAAAGAAAATACAGGTGAGACAATCAGGGGCTAGGCTGGGAACGGTGAGGAGAACAACGTTTCAGGAAATATTCTGGGAGTAAGAGAGGGCACTTGCTTGGTGTGGACAAAGCCCACCCCTCTCCAATTTGGACCCTTCTTCAAACTAAGATTGAGTCTACACTTCCTATAACTGCACTTGCCCTTTTATCCCTCTTCTGAGCTGACAGAGAAAAGGAGGAAACAACGGCTTTTATATGGTCAAGCAAACACCTACGATGTTCCACAATATAAATACTTAACTGATATTTGTTACCAAACAATAGTTATTCTGAAAATGAGAAAGGCCAGCTAGAAGGCAAAGGCAAAATATTGTTCTATAATCTATCATCAGTATCCAAAGCTATTTGATTATTGTTTTGAATGTTGAGATTTCTGAGAAATAAAATCTTAAAGCTTTCAGAGACTGTGATACACATGGTCAAAAAATATGAATCTTTTAATAAAGCATTTCAGTCATGAAGCAGGAAGGAACCCACCAAACTACCACAAAGATCTTAACAAAAGAACCCTGGATGTAGAATTATAAAGGAAACATACCTTTGGTTGAACAAGTTCACAATTTTTTCATCTCAGCCACATAGCCTTGCCGTTCCACCCGGAGCAGAAGTCGACTCTGAGTCCCTTGTGATCTTGGTGACAATGCCATCATACCACTGGTAAATTTTTCGATTAAACTTTGCAGATGTCGTAGCAACTTTGTTAATTATGATATTAGCCAGCTGGCAGGGACAATCAGTCACCCACTGTAAGAAAGCCAGACAGAGACATCTAATCATTGCAACCAGGGCAGATAGATTTTGTTCCCTCCTCGCACGTGTCACACATTCTCTCCCTGCTGACCCTCTCCTCCGCCATCGACTGTCAAATTTAGATTCCGCCAGCTCCCAGGCTTCCCTTTATCCCTGCCTCCGATCTGAGACTCCTGGTTATCAGGAAGACACACGTCACTAGCTGTCTCAGCCCAGGAAAGCAATCAGGTGAATACGACTTATTATCTTGCATTGCTTTCCGAGGACTGACAAGATTGATTTGAGACCAAGAACACACTGAGATCCGAGACATGTAGTTCCGAGGGTTTTGAGTTCAGACAACAGGCTCGCTGCAAAGTTACAAGAGAGGAGCTGACCTGAAGCCCAGTGCTAAGGACAATGCACATTCATTTGTAGATTAAAAAGCGACTGTCAGAGTTTCCTTTCTCAGCTGCCCTTCTGTGTTCCTTTTCCACCCTATTCTGCCCTAAGAATATGTCTAAGAGCACTGTCCCCTGGAGACTACTGCTTCACAGCTGGATAGTCTTAGATCAACCCTAGGGAAGCTATGTTCTGACATGACGTCATCTGTGCCCACTCTCTTTGCGTGTGGGGACGTCACTACAAGAGGGCTCCAAGTCTCCACACTGGGTTGATTTAGCCTAAAAACCTAAGAAAACAAACACATAGATTTTAATAACTTAAAGCTATGTAATGGAAATAAGGGGATGTATTCATTAGGGGTAGTGTCTGGGGGGGGGGAAGGGGGCTCCAAAATCTCATCAGAATTAGATAGGAAGGTCTTAGAAATTTCAAAAATCTATTTATATATTCATGCCTGTGTTGATCTAGCTTTCTTCTTGAGAGCAATAGAACCTTTAACCTTGATCTCTCAAGGCTGGCATTAAAAAAAAATGAATCATAAAAAGCAAAAGAACAAAGACGCTGGAAACGTCAGAGGATAGAAGTTTGTCTGTCTGGCTCAGCTTCAAGGAGAGAAGCTTTGATGATCACTTTCAACATGCTTTGCTTGGAAGTGAGGACTTCCTACCGTGTCCACTATGACAACTTTGGCAGCTACCTGAGGTCTTAGCGCATAGTAGTAACTCAAGTAACGTACGCTGATGAAGAGTGGCTGCCTGTTCTATGCATATCATCTTGATAATGCAAAAATTCACTCTTTAGGCCCTGTATTGATAAACATACATTAATTATTCATACACTTATTCTTAAGTATATTTTTAAATTAATAAAAAGACTTGATTTCAAAAGGAGTTAAAAAACTCATTTTTAAAAGTATGCTAAGGGTATCTATAATTTTCCCATGATGTGATTCTGATTCAGGATGTTACAATTTGTCTAAAATATCTTGACTCAGACTGAAAAATAGATTTTTCTCTTAGAAAATTCAAAGAAAATAATATACTACACACATAGTTTTTCATTGCTGTAGACCCTATAAGAGAAATAGAATGAAATGTATGCCTCTAAAGAAAAATTAATAAATAAATTTTACCATTTGCTCATAAGTAGTCATGATGTGATTAGAAGGAAGACTGAGAAAATTGCCTTTTTAAGAATACTAACTTATGATGAAAAGTCTAGAAGGAGCAATGCTTAATAGAAACCATAACCACCCCCATCATTCATGGTGGGGAGGTCGGGGGGTCCCCAAGATCTGCATTGGTCAAGTCAGTGTTTACATTTATCCCATGCAAATCTCCTCTATATTCTGAATTATACTTAAGATAGTTAACATAATGTAGATGCCATATAAAAATGTCTACATGTTTCTAATTCAGATGTCATGTTTTTTTCTCTGAATATTTCAACCTGTGGGTAGCTGAAGTCACAGACACAGAACTAGTAGATGTGGAGCATCAAGTATGTTATAGAGAGTTAGAAAGCATTGCCTTTTACTACTGTGACTCAACAGCAGAACAGAAGACCTCAACTACCAAACAGGCACAATAATCATGACTGCATGGTAGGACTTTGATGTTAAAGCAGATAACGCATGTAAAATCTCTTGCACATATCCTGAACTTCATTATGTAGCTTAATTATTTCTCTTATTATAACTACCATATAAATAATTAGTACATGTTTTCTATCAGTCATTATCCAGTACCCATGAAGTTAAATGAGACATTTTGAAACAAGGAAAATGTGGTATCTTCAGCTCAAAATGCTACACATAGATATGACCAAGATTGCAAAACATAAAAAAACAACACTAAAAATACTAGTAATAGCCCCCAAATACACAAAATGCCAGTCACAAAGTTGTAACTGGACCTCGAAAACAAGTTATCAAATACACAGGTTCCGTTAAAAGGACTACACAGGTTTGAATTCACCATGACCATCTTTCTCCACGAAGATGAGAATTTCCAGAAACATGGCAATTACACCATGGATGTACAGAGAATGGACAGCCCCCAGAGAAGCCCCATGCTCCTGCTTTGCTTGGAATACACATTACCTAGTCTGATACTTGCTGATTTCTGCTGCCCGTAGTCACAAAGCCTGACTCGGAGCAGAGCCGTCTAGTACCTCTTGTCACTGGTAGGCTCTTGTTATATAAACATGACACATGGGTGTGGGATATTTTAAAGGTTGAAGCAATCAATGAGGATGAATCACTCTCCATTTGAAAATACTTCCCTCGTATGGGGATTCCCTTGGGGTCCACACAGGACACTAAGCCTGACTCTGCTGTGGATGCTCTTGCTAGTGTGCCCTGAATCTTCTCCCATTGGCTCATGGGACCGCTCCTCCTACCTAGCCTCTGATGGCTTGAATATGTTTAATTACATCTCACATGTACATACATTTCATTTCTGTCTTCCAGAACATTAAGCATGTAAGTGAATGCCTGGAATTCCATCCTCTGCTTGTCTTAGTCTCAGGAGTCTGATGTCCTGTCTCCTTTCCATTCTTAGATCTTAACTTATTATCTCTGAGACTTTGGGAAAATTGTTAAACCTCATTAGGCCTGTTAGACAATAATAACCTATTCTGATACTATGACCAAGGTTGCACATAATACAGGCCAGCTGCTTATCACACAGTAGGTATCTAATAAGTGCACCATCACTAACACAGGAGCAACAGAATCACTGGAAATCAACACACTTTTTAAGAACAGCAGAGGCTCTAGAGTCTAGCTTCAGGAGTGGACTTCAGCAAAGCCCGGCTTTCTCCACTGATTAATAACAACAATAATACAAGTGTTAATATCTACCTCAATGAGGGATAAGAATTAAAGGTGTAATTACAAAGTACCACATAGTAAATGATGTTGCCAATTATTATTGCTCTGCCTTCTGGGCTAATTGGTTAGTTATTTGCCATTTAACTCATTTCAGTCAAAACAAATAAGGACTCTGAATGCGAAAACCTGGGAATACACACACAGTCACACCACATATATACATGGCTGGTATATACATAATGCATGTGATGTAGCAACGTGTGTTCACATATGATAATGCATGGGAAAGAGCCTAGATGTAGCACTATTTGTAATAGAAAAGAGTGTATTATAATAATGCCATGAGGTTACTGAACTAAATAAAGAAGTTTTGAGATGAGGTTGTTTCTATGATTTATTTTAAGCAAAGAATGACACAGAACCATATGTGTTGTAAATCACTCCTTTGTATGATAAGAATATTGTATTTAATTTATATACTGGGAGATTATCTGTGAAAATAATCTGTAAAAAAATGATGGATGCTTTAATAGGGAAAGGTCTTGGAATAGAAAGAATTACTTTTAAAATTCTGTACAAATTTCAGATACATCCTTACATTCATGTATACTCTTTGTGATACATTACAATTGCATAACACATGTGTAGTTTTAAAAATATTAACATATGTAAAAAACTTTGTAAGGAAAGGCTTTGGGGGAGGAGTCTGTAAGGGTGAAGAGTGGATATCGAGGGACAAGGAGATGAGTTGGATGGGTGTATGATGTGAAATTCACGAAGAAGCAATACAAAGTTAATAAAAGAAAGTTCGTTGTTCTTGTTTGAATGGTTGATCTCAATTTTTGTACGAATAGTTCTAGACATTTCCATTTTCCCGTATCTATCAGTGGTATTCACAGTTTTTGTTAGAGCCTTTTATGCCCACCTGTGCCATGAAAAGACCTCTCTGCTTCTTGCTTCCAAATCTCACTGTGACACCACTTCCAATACCATGTGTCGCATGAGCTGATTTTCTTCATCTACTAAATGTCAAAACGCTACCTGCCTGCAGCCTCTTCTCTGTCCTGCAGCATCTCTATCCAAGAACGCCTTCCTTAGACAAGATTTCATTCAGAGCGAGAGACTCAGTAAATTCCCACATTTTATTCAATTCTAGAGTCATATCAAGGAAGGCGCTCTCTTCTTATGTACAAAAATACAAAGGTTTATTGTCAGAGAAAGAGACATCAAGACCTCTAGAGGCCAGAAGAATACAGAGCTTCGGGCTTTGGGTGTGCAAGCCACATAACACATGTTCTCTGTATGTAATAAAGTGTGAACTGCTAACACCAAAGTTTGACAGGAGTTTAAAATCCAAGGCATTCCATGGCATCCTAAATACACACATCTGACAATGTAATGCTCGCTACAAATATCATTTCAAGGACCCCTGGTATTCACCTATGAATCTATGAAGCATCACAATTTTCCTCACATTCCCCCCAAACAAAAAATGTGTTTCTTAATTTTTAAAGGTGCTCCTACCAATGAAACTGTCTTGGGCACAGCTGGCACTAGCCATCAGAATACCTCCATTGGTAAGGGGTGATCGTCTTGGGTAACCCATTGCTTCAGTTGTCTCATTGTAAAGCATCCACAAAACTTAAAGGAGAAAGGCAACTGCTAAATGCATCGGTTCGTAGGCTAGATGGTATGGTCAGTACCTGAAGATCTTTAATACCTAATGGGAGGTCTCATCAACAGCACTGTCAATCACACCCTTTCAAACCATTCTTGATAATGGGAGTAGGGAGTTAGTGCCAGCTGTAGAGTATGAAAACTGCTATTGCTTTCAGTTCCTCATTCAGGGAATATTTTATCCAAGAAAAGGACACAGTCCCATATGGCCTATGGCCACTGGCAGAGCATATCCCATATACCTGTTGTTCTCAAATTTAAATGACAATGGGAAAATACTGTGAGTATTGTTAAGGTGTGGATTTTGATTCCGTAGCTTTGGGTGGAGCTTGGCATTCCACATTTCTACCAAGCTCTCAGGTGATGAGAGATACCCCTGATGGTGGCCGTGGGATGCCAAAACTATGTTCTCCTGTGGATAGTACAGAGAGTAAGAACGGCATGCTTGATAACAAACATGGGAATTTTAAGATATGAACTCACACAAGACCCAGGGATATAATTTTTCTACTTTCTCACTTACCTTGCAGAGCAGAATTTAGTCATTTTCAGTGATGAGATCCAATGCAAATGTGCAATAAAAACACAATTTTTAGTTGATTCCCTGTGTTAACTCCTGGCAGATGCAAAGGAAAAAAAAAATGGTTGTATAATTCCTAATGAAAGGAAGGGTCACATCTTCAAAGTATTTTTACAAGTAATGATATAATTTCTTTTAACCTGGATCTGTTTCCTTTCTTGTAACACAAGAATGCAGCTGTAGTTTATATTCATTATGCTTGGCCCAATAACAAAATAAGGTGTTAACCATAATTCTTTCAAGAAACTTCTCTTGTGCAACTAAATATTCATGCCTTCTCCTTATATAGCTACCTAAAGCTAAATGGTTTAATCAATAAGGCCATTGTAAGCGGATACAGCATAGCTTGTAATAATTCTGGAAGCATTTGCTGGGCTTCCATGATTATTTATTTTTGCCAAGAGCTAATTCCCTTGAATTGCTTGAGGATAATTGTTTTAAAAAGAGAATGGGAAAATAATATTCTGGATTTAAAAGTCTAGCATTCAAGTAAAATCTTACAAGAGGATACGTAATTTAGTCCCGTGTTTAGATTTTGTTTCCCTTTTCAGGATTTCTTCCACTGAAACCCATAAAAAAACATTTATTACATAGGAAAGTGTAACAGACACAAAATATATTCATGAAGCAAGTCTTAGCCCCATGGAAGCAGTGTGTTCTGATATTTATAATCTTTGTATTATTTATTTTAAGTTACTTGGTAGATTTCATGACTTGTGTGTGTGTGTGTGTGTGTGTGTGTGTGTGTGTGTGTGTGTGTGTGTGTGTGTGCCTGATCACGGCATGGGGGGCTGTGTAGGTGTTTGCATTTGTATAGAGGCCAGAAATTGATGTCACGTGCCTTGCTTGATTTCTCTACCTTATATACTGAGGTGGGGTTTGTTGTTTGATCCCAGAGCTCACCATTTCAGCTCGTCTACCCAGCCAGTCTGCTCTTGGGATCCCTTGTCTCTGCCTTCTGAGCACCGGGAGTACATGCAGGCATTCACACCTACCAGATCTGCATGTGGGTACTGGGACCTGAATTCCAACCCTCATGGCTGTGTGACTGGAACTTTATCAAGAGAGCTATCTCCCTAGTCTCCTTCTGGCCTTTTAACTGCCTGTTCGTATTTAACTGAACAGGACAGTCACTCAGCAGACTCTGGGACCTGAACCTGGTCCTCTGAAAGTTCATGAGAACAAAAGACGTTCAAGGAGTCATGCTACAGCTACAGTGTGATAGCCATAGACCTGAAGGAACAGCCAGGGAGTCTATGCAAGGACATTCAGGAGAAATCCCTTTAGGTGAAACCATTTCTCCAACAACAAATTCAACACAAATGGTTTCTCTAGCACATTCTCTGGAGATAAATGCCGAACAATTATGGAGACTTAGAATGATGGAGGTAAATTTCACTGCTCAGTTACTACTAGAAATTTATAAGAAAGCAAGTGAGGAATGAAGTAGGTCAGAATTAATAAACATACGGACCTACATACGGCACTGTTTATCAGTTTTAATACAAATTCTGAGGTAGAAAGTTACATTCCCCTAAGCATTGCATCAATAGTCTGAATGGCCATTATTCTAACACACTTTCAGGAACATATAAATCACAAGAAAGCACAAACATAAAACAAATGATTTTAATCTGTCTTGACCTGTTTCATGTGGGAAAGGCCAAATAAGGCCTTTAAGAAGCTCAGTCAGCAGAGAATCTCCATAGGCTAGAGTTTGGGCATTTTATTTCACTATTAGAAAAGCACAGCAATCAGATGTGTGAGTGTGAGACACACTGAAACAATCCATCTATGCTTGACTGGGTTCTCTGTCTTTTCTCTGGAGTTGAAACACTAATTGGTTAAGTAAATAAAACTGTATCCCAGTTAATAGCAAGACAGACATTGTGGATATGAGGGAAGCTATCTTCAGTACATGTCTCTGAGCAGTTGTGCCTACAGAAAGATTGGGTAACCTTTCCCATCTCCTTCCTCCCAAGTTATTCTAAGCCTCCATATGAGAAACAAAAATAGCCTTGAAAAATGTGAGTTCAGAGTTGGATATCTCAGAGGAGCTTGAGGGTGGACCACAACTGAGCGTGCTATAAAAACAATATTGTAATTACGATGGTGAATCAAATTCTTCATTTTTTATCTCTCAGTTTATCTAAGAAAAGCATCTATTCTGACAATCCACTAGGAGCTATTAGTAGATTTAGTTCACATATGTTGGGATAAAGTCTGTACTAAACAGAGCAGACAAGGCAGCCGGCCACATCACCATCTTCCTCTCCGAGAGACATTTGCATAACTCTCAAAGGCCTCTGGCTTTTAGGAGACATCAATTCCTTGCTCAGCTGAAATTATTCTGACAGCTTTGATGTTACATTATCATCACAAGATCACGGCATACTTAAAGAAAAATGAAGATCCATGAGAATTAAAAGTAAAAATAATACAAGTCTCCCAAATGCTTGATCAATATCCAAGTGATTCACATCAAAACTTAACAACTTAGAGTTCAATTAGTCATCACTCTGTGTGCTTTCAGGGGCCTGGCTAAAAACAAACAGACAACTAAATAATTCTAAACAACTCTTTTCTCAATATGTCTCTATTTCCACTTCATACCATAACATACGTATTATACATTTTTCATTTTAAAGATCTGGGTTGTTTTTTAAAGTATCTTATACTGAAACTGATTTCTCTGTATAATTTGTTCTGATTCAAATGATTTTCTCTGCAACCCAGATTTCCTCATTCTCATAAATAAGGAATATTTTTTGACAAGTGTTCGTAGAATCTCTAAGTAGGCTCTGTTTTCCTCCCCCACAATATGGTCTGTTAATAAGCTTTTATGCTACTATATCAACTTGCAAAGACTGGTAATTGTCATTTTCTTTGTATGTGACCCTACTCCATCAGATACATACATACCAGTTGGTACCTAAATACTTTCAAATCTGGTCATCTATATCAGGGTAGCGAATTACATTGCTTTTGTCTTCTTTTTCAAGAAAGCTCACCATACCACAAAGACTTCTTTTTAAAAATGATGTTTTTATCTGCATTTTAAATTGCAATGTTTGTTTTTGTTTATTTGTTTGCATAATTATGGGTTTATTTGAGGAATACTAGCTAGGATTGGAGTTTGGAAGACAGCATTAGGAAGGAAGATGAAGCAGATGTAATACACAGCTAAGATCAAAGAGCCCCATCAATTCATTCCCAGACTCAAAAGCCAGCTGAGCCTCAGAGCCCTGTCTGCATAATAAGAAAGTTTGACTGAAACATAAGGATTAAACAGGTGGACCTGTGTCCTGCAGAGGCGAGGGAGGGACGCCCCATGGAGTCACTTGCGAAGACACTTTGGAAGCTCACACCTGCTCCTCCTCAACCAAGCTACAGGACACTAATGTGGCCAAAGACACACAGCTTTAAAGAAAGGAAAGTGTGTCCGGTGTACGTGGCTTTATTCTTCCAGACAATTTCTTCCCTGGCAAATGACAAATTAATAAATTGCTTCCATTTCTCCAAGGTGACTTATCCAGCGCCCAACTTTCAAAATAAGAGAGGAAATCAATGATGAAATGTTCCCCGGGCCTTGAAATCTTACTGGAATATGGCTACCTCATGAACTTCATCTTCCTCAAATGAACACTTCTTTTTTTTTTTTTTTTTAAACTCAACCTTACAAACATTGGTCAATAAAATTCATTTTGCAGCCTCAGAAAGTATTCTTTTCAGTCACATGAATAACACCTCAAATGTTTTATAAACTCATTACCAAGGTCAACACAAATCATACAACTTAGTTCTATGCACTAAGAAAGAAGTCCAGGAATTAAAAATACTTAAAACAATCTGTTCCTGTGTCATTTATTCTAATGATCTTAGTACAATGATAGCTTGTAACTACTGATGAATTATTCTGAACATTAAAATAGTTTTCTTTGAAGAAAACTGAGATAAAGTTAAAAGTTAAACAAGCTAGGTCTTTAGCAAGATAGAATGACAAGTGAGTACCAGCATTGTTTTATAAGATAAATTTCAAATAACATCTATAAGCTCTAACTTTGGTGTGGATTAATTTCCTCAAGCACCGAACATTCTGTGATTTAAATATGCAGTTAACACACTCAGATAAATGGAAAGCATTCGCTTTTATTGTATTCACCAAAATAAGGAACATCTAATTAGAGCTTGAGCAACATGGTCTCCCTGGAGTGGGGTTAAAGTGCAGGCTTTGGCTTACTGTTGACATTCATTTCCTCATTCGACCATATTTGTAGAGTGTTGACTTTATACGACAAGGTGAGGGACACAGAGAAGAATCACACATGAATCACAGGCAACAAAGAGAAACTCCGAAAGCCACGTATATGATAAAAGAGACACCTCTAACAGTAGACCATTGTGGAAAACATACAGAGGCCACATGTAAGAAGTGAGGTTAGGCTTAGGACTTGGTAATGAGAGACAGATAGAGAAGAGAGCCAGCTTTCCCAGGAGAAGGACCAGGCATGGAATGAACTAGACTCTACTTTGAGTGAGTAGGTGATTCTAATTGACTAGGGAATAGAGAAATGTACTCAATAAAACAACCACAGAATTCAGTACAAGGAGTCTTCAATACTCTATAAGCAAATTAAATTTTCTTTTCCAGTTTTTCTCAAAATTCAGACTTGAGAATCACCTGTCAGGCATTCTGTTCAAACTCACAAGTTAGCAGATCCACTCCAGACGTTGGAGCTCTAAGTCATCCGAGATAAGACATGGCGACTAGAGGCTTGAATGCATCTACAGAATACATTATTTTAATTTCTGTGAGGCAGCAAGAAACCTTAAGAGCATTTTGGAAGATGAGAAATAAAGGAGAGACGAGAGAATCTGGGCAAGAAGCTTAAACCTCCTTATTTTTAATTCAGGTATATAGTAACAATAATTATTTTTGCCCAAAGTACATATCAATATTTTCATTTTTCTTAAAAGCATAAGCCAAAACCTCATCAGGCTTTCCTATTTTTGAATGTTCCAGATTATTTTTAAGA